GTGTCCTACATGTGCATTGGAGGACATGATGACATTACACGCAGCAAGAGTTCTCAGTGTTTACGGAAGTCGCCTAAATGCTGGGCTTGTGTCCCAAAATACGGTCCAGTTCTTCGAAAAATGGACGTGTCGCTTCATTTGTTTGAGACTTTAGCCTCCTTGTATTTGACACGCACGCTCTATTTTTCGCTGATATTGAAGCCAGGACAGCGTGTAGCTACGCTTGGACATTTCTTTGGCAATCATTTCAAAAACCGCCCAGTTCCCTCCAAGACCCCTCCAATTTGGACTGAATACAACAATCCCACCATATATTAATAAACTCACTAACCTCGCTTTCCCTCCACTGACGAGACCTGACGCGTCGGTGAAGTGAATGTGACCTGTCCGTTCAGATTGAAATTGCATGTCAAAAGATCGGATATGTATCGGTTTTAGGAGCACATGTCCAAGTGGCCTGGGTCACATTTGAAAAAATCGAATCTGTGTCGTTCAGACTGTCATTAAAAGATCAGATACAAGCATAGGGGTGAAAAAATCAGATCTGTGTCACTTGAGGCTGTTGTCTGAACGTGGCCTGAGTCAGCTCGTTCTGGTTAGATTGTGTTAAAATAAAGCTCAGATTGAAGTCTAACAGAGATCCAGAGAGGAATGCCTTCATTTAGCTTCAAACCCCCAGGAAATGTTGATGCCATAAGCTGAGTAAGTACGTATCAATATAGAAAAATCTTGTTGTAGATCAGATCTCTACAAACATCTTGTGAAATGCTTGGGAACCTTGTATTAGTCTATCAGTTCATATTTCAGTTTTCTCTCAAAAGTGAATCCTTCTTTTAGACATCAAAATTAAATCTTATTACCAAACTTAGGGCAATTTTTTCCCAAAACCTACTGTGGAACATTTGTGGTGGAGACGTTGCCAACTGCTTGTCTCCAGGGAGAATTTATTTATTTTTTTCCACGGTGTTCTGTGTTCCATGGTATGGCACTGAAATAAAATAAGAAAAATAAATACAGTCTAAATATAATGAAGACCAAGAGTACAAAACTGTAAACAGATGGACCCAACCGAGATATTTGAGGCCACACTCACACAAATGCAGAGTCTGGAATTTCCAACAGTCTGGTGAATCATGAATGCAGCATCAGATTTAGAGGAGGAAAAGGTCACAAGTGTCAAAATGCCACTCTCAAACAACTCAGTATAAAACAAAGGTCTCTACACTTCCTCTGACCACTGGTAAAAATACATAAACACTAGAGATTGGCCGACTTAGCTGGCAGATATTTGATCTTTTTCAACCAGCTGCCAAAACAATATATGTTTTATTTGAATGAAAACATAACTGCACAAAATCTGACTACACAGCTCTCTTTCCCAGTTTGTAGTAAAGAGAGTGCTGGGAGTGACTGGACTTTGAACTTACAGTATATAGACAGATTTTGGAACATTTTGACAGGATTGGACTTTTGATGGACTTTGACAGCTGATGTTTTGTTTGTGTAGTTTTGTGGACGTTTTAAGTGTGGAGAGAGGAGCGTGGTGTGTTTTATTTATTCATTTATCATCTTTTTTGTGTGTTTTATGTTTATCCATTTTCTTAGACTTGACAAAGAAAGGGCTGTGGGTGAGTTTGGACTAAAATCAAATCATATAATTTCAGAAAATGATCAAAATCAGCCCTAAATATTGTCCCAAGAACATCGGCAGAGCTTCGGCAATATAAAAAGAAACCATATTGGATGATCTCTAATAAACGCGACCAGATTTATCAGGCTTTCATTTCATTCTCACCTTGATCTCACTGACTGTCTGTGGAGGCTGGTTTGCTGAGCTACTTCAATGTAAGTGTATTTATGGTGAACCTGGGTCAAAAATATGATATTAGCCAGTGACCATGAGAAAAGAAAGATGAAAAGGAAATAAATGCACTGGATGGATGAATACATAGACAGATGGACAGATGGATATATAGACAGGTAGATGACCTGTAATATGGTGTTTTTTGTACTCTTTCAGTTGCATCAGACTTCTTGCACCTGCTGCTATACAACCCAAAGAATTGTATTTTTATAAAAGGTGCATGATGAAATGATCTGTTATACCTACTTGACATGATAAATAACAGCTACAAAACACATTTGGATCTTTGTTTGCAATACGACATTTGTATTTAAAGGAAATTATATTTTCAATCTCTGCCCTGTCATGGTTGATATCAGGTACGGGAAGATACTTAAAGCCAAAGTTATGGAGTAAGAAAGCTTTCAGAAATATTTGTGCGCATAGAATAGAAATTCATGCGTATTTGGGAAATCCGTGCCTATTTGGCTGTAGTTGCACATAAAATAAATATTTGTAAACTCTCAAATGAGTCCAGTCGTACATAAAATATATTGGGTGTATTTTATCCATCAGAATACGAACTGAAAAGTTACGACGTCAAGAATTACAATCATGAAATGAAAATTTACGATTATGTTTTCATCAGTACGAATACGAATTCACAGATGAGACTTCACTATCAAAAATACATCATCACTTCACAGACATTATTTATCGAGCAGTAGAAACATCGATCAAGATCAAGACTGCGCATGCTTAAGTTTGTAGCAGAGGGTAAAAACGGAGTAATGGCTCAACAAGGAGCTACAACAGCGATCAACAGGTGGGTTCATTATAATTTATTGTAAAAATGTCTTGTCTTGCCACATTGAATTCAGGAACTGAACGCTGCTGTGTAATATTGTGTAGAAATACCTCCTCTGTAAAAAGTATCGACAACAGAAAAATCTGGATTGTTAAAGGGACAATCCAGAATTTTGGGCATACGACCTCATTCCCTAGTGAGCCAGAGTGTTGGAGACGTGTAGAGAAACTTTTTAAATATTCCATCCAGTCCTTGTATTTGCAGAGGTCACTGGTGCTAGGCTAGTGCATGTCAATGGCCATAGTTATCCTGCCACTAAAAATGGTCTTACCCACTCCACAAAACACCCAAAGCAAATCTATTATTACACCAGACTGTTGATGTGAATGTCTGTGTTGATAGACTAATTTTAGAAGTCAAACCAAACCTTGCATTTGAAGGATTTATGTCTGAGCAGCAGCAGCGAGTTGTACGTCCTGATACTTCCCTTGGCAGTGGCGAACTGATATCACCTACCACCTACCTTAGCGGCAAAGTAAAATTCCGCTGCTGCTGAGAAAATAGTCCCTCAACATGCAACGATTCATGTGATGCAAGGTTAGTTTTATTTCAAACATTATTCTATCGACGCAGACATTTACATCGACAGTCTGGTGTAATAACAGATTTGCTTTGGGTGTTTTGTGGAGTGGGTAAGACTGTTTTTAGTGGCAGGATAACTATGGCCATTGACATGCACTAGCCTAGCACCAGTGACCTCTGCAAATACAAGGACTGGATGGAATATTTTAAAAAAGTGTTTCCACACGTCTCCAACACTCTGGCTCACTAGGAAATGAGGCCTTATGTCCAAAATTCCAAACTGTCCCTTTAATAGACTGATAGATATAGATAGAGCATATATAAGAAATTAACTACTTAATAACCACTTAAAGGTGCATTGTGTTTGCAACTTTTGCGGTGGAGGGTCCGTCAAAAGCTGTTCTCCATGGAGATGTCACTGCTTTGTCGGAAATGTCTGACAGTATGGCATTCTGTTTTCAAGCAGACCAGACTAGACCGAGTTACAGGTCGGATCTGTGGAGAGGCAATCCTTGCTCACAGTCAGAATACCCATTTTTGCAGGGATTTTTGAGCTGTAAAACCACCTGTAATTTCATAAATGTAAGATAGACCTGTTTAATGTCACCATTGTTGAACATTCTAAGCAGAGCAATGGCATATCCACAGAAATGAGCAGGTGACAGAACCCCAACCGAAAAGTTACACAGTGCGCCTTTAAAGTGCTTTTGCTCTCACATCAATTCACTTATTGACTCGGCAATTGAATTAACATAGACAGATGGAGCACCAATTAGAGGTTTGATGGTCACCCAATCCAAAAATACGGATATAATTAAACAAAAGAAACTGATCCGCACTGACACTAGAGGCTAACCACTCTGCCACAATACTGACAGCAGTAAAGGGAGTAGCAGTAGTTGTTGAAGGAACTCAACGCCCCCTATAGGTGTAGAGAGGCAAAGCAAATTATATTCAGGTAAGAGTAACAGTCATTAAAATAGTCATTCAAACTAAATACTGGCTAGAAGTCTGATCATTATCTGATTTCTAGAGTTATCAGATTAGATTATAGTAAACAGTTACATCGGATGTGAGTAGTCTTGATTTCTTTCTAATTGTTCATATTTGTGCAGGTTTTTACTAAGGAAACTGTGCAAAAAGAGTGAAAACGAAAAGAAAGGGGCATGTTACAGATTGAAAGAGTTATTTTGAAATTCACTGTACTTTGTCTTCAGTTTTTGATAATCAGATCTCTCAGGTGCATGTACACACACTATGTAATTATTGGGTTATTGGATTATTCTAGATATCAGATTTTTTTAGCTATGGAAATGTGAATGGTATTTATTTTCGAAGTACATTCCTAACAATACATGCAGGGAGAAATTTGGTTGCATCAGCACGACCTCAAATCTCAGTCCATGCCAACAGCACGTGCCCGGGGTAGTGAAGACCGATTAAGGGGTGCGTTTGGGCCACGAGATGGGGAGGCTGTGACATCAGACTCTACGTTTGATGTTTTACCTAGTGACGCAGCCCTGATCACAACTGCAAATGGGAAGTACTGCCGTTATTACATAAGACTGAGTGACATTAAAAATACAGATGTGATTGAAGTCATTTATATTGTAGACTATAGGTTATATCTTTAGAATCAAAGTACAGTGGGTAGTTTTAAAGTTTTAGTGTAAGCTTAAAGAAATAGCATAGTATGGACTTTATTTGAGAACATAAACCACGAGTTAAAATTCAGATGGTTGTCTTGTCTCGTGTGGAGGCGCTTACCTTGGATGGCACTGGCTGGATGGGCACGTTGCTCGGGGAGCGCTGCAGTTGCGAGTCGCTCTCCATCTCGTTGTTCTCAGTCATCATCGGTGAAGCGTAAAATCACGTTGTTGGTGTGAAAACAAAAGCAAAAAAAACACTCTTAAAGTCCGTAATAATTGACCTTTAAGTAAAGTGTATTCAAGTTAAATGTCACAAACGAGCGTAAAACCGTAACATCACATGGACGAGCGCGCGCAGTGAGGTGGACGCGATTAAACCATGTGCAGTCCAGACACGAATTGCAGAAACTAACGATGTCTAACAAGCTTTTACGATGATAGTTTTGCTCAACCACGTGAGAAGTAATGATCAAAAAACACAGGTTATAACGTGGACCGTGTCTTATTTTTACGTCCTTTACGCGCGTCTCAAAACCCAAAAGTATCAGTCCCGAGCAACACCGCTGACAAAATCGACTTCAGAAGGTCAAATCTCCAAAATACGAGCTCGTGCTGAGGCGTAAATCCAGAATGGAAATGTGCCCTCCACGGCTGCACACTTGAATTTAAGCTCATCCCAAGGCACGCCTCTCCGTGCGTCTGGTGCGCATGATTGGGGCAATTTTTACAACTCTGCCGGGATCCGTTTGGACTATATCAGGATGTGCGCGTGCGGGAGGGAGGAGGACACAAGCGGTGATTTGCCGAGATAAAACCAATTTGTTTTTGTTGAAGGTTGAAGTTAATCAGACGTTCACTTAATTTGGACTCTTTTGGGTGCATCAGAGCCCTGCACCTGCTGCTATTCTCCTATATAACAGATGCTGTGGATTTTAAAGTTGCACTGTGTAACTTTTCTGATGAAGGACTTATCTCTGTGGATATTGCAATGCCTGGAATTTTACACAGCATCAATTACAGGTGCTTTTATTGCTCTCAAATACCTAGAAAAACACGCATTGTACTGTAAAATTGTAGTTTTTGTGCTCTTTCAGTTGAGTCAGATTTATTGCACCTGCTGCTGCACAAACCAAGGATCCGATTGTTGTAGTAAAAACGGAGTTGAGGCCAAAAGCAAAGCTCTAAACTCACCGCTCAGTTTATATGTTCCTATTCTCAGCTTTGATCATGAGCTTTGGGTAATGACTGAAAGGACAAGATCACGGATACAGGCGGTCCAAATGAGTTTCCTCCGTTTCCCCTCCTTTAGAAATAGGGTGAGGAGCTCGGAGTAGATACGCTGCTCCTCCACTCCTGGAGAAGCAGCTGAAGGGAAGAGGGCATCTGTTCCGGTCCCCTCGGAGGAGCTGGAGGAACTGCCTGGGATGAGGGAAGTCACTCCTTAGACTGCCTTCCTTGTGACCCGGTGTCCTGTCAAAATGGCCTACTCATCGATTTGAGCTTCCTGCGTACAACCTCCCCAGCGCCGTTACAGTTTAAGTGCCATCGATTTGAGCTCCTGAGGCAGAAGTGGAGTAACAAGTCACATTTTAAAAGTGTACTGATTTTATTGTATGTGTTTGACCAGTTAAGCAACGACATGTGCGTGTTAGATTTGCGGCAGAATGTCTACGTTAGATGATTGAATAGTTTGGATTTTCTACAGTGGGAGCATAATTCAGTGGCTAAATTGGCTCATCAATATGTGCTCCCTCTAGTTGGAGAACTATATGAGCATAATACGACTTGAAATGAACTACGCAGATTCATATAAATGAGTTGAAATTTGACATAACTAAGGTATAAAGTGTGATCACCGCTTGCAAACAGCATTAAACCTGCTGTCTCGAATCCAGAGAAATATGCTGTAAAACTGTCGGGTTAGGGTTAGGGCTGGGTATTATTAAGAAGTTTCCAATATGATACTGTACCTCAATACATAATCCACGATACAATACGGTTTTCGATACTGTGCGCTTTCGATTCAATACCAATTTTACTCAAAACTGTGAAAATGTCAAGAAAACTGTAGCTCTTACACAAAATAAATTAGTTTAATTTAAAATATACCTAGAAACACTCTTGGCAATATATCGATACAGCAGCATCGATACTTTATCATCAAATTAAACAATACGATATATTGATATTTCAGTATTTTTAGTTAGGGTTAGGGTTAGGCTTTTTTGGCTCAATACAACAGTCAAACAAAAAAATGTAAGGTCACTTATTTCGACGGGGTATCGTAAATCGATTAGTCAGGCTGGTGCCACCTAGTGCCTCCACTCAGTTTCATTTCTATCCAGCGACTAGCTCAGGAATCAGAATACACTAAATGGTTTGCAAGAACCCTGAAAGTGCGAGTTCGGGCACCAGTCAGTCTGTGAAGAGTCATACATTCTGTGTTCGTCAACGATTCCTGAGATCGAGGATTTAAAGCCGGAACAAAGAGAATGTTTGGTGAATTTTATCAAGGGGAAAGATGTTATTGCCCTTCTTCCTACAGGATTTTGGAAAAGCTTAATATACCAGTTAGCCCCGTTAGAGGCGCATTACATATGTCATGACCAAATAGCAATGATTGGTTAAATTTAAAAAGTACCCGCCTACTGTCGAGCGAACAAATTCTAACGCTGTGAGGTCTGATGGTTTCCACAAAGTGAAACCGGCTGATGAATCAGGCTTATGAATTGATAATCGTCACTGTCAATTTAAGCTGCCGGGAGTTCATTTCGACAGGGCAGCCCATTTTGACAGAACATCAGCCCCGGATAAGCAGAAGAAAATTGATGGATGGACTTCTTAATGTAAGCAGAGTCGTGGTTTAGACCAGATTAGATAAGGTATGGAGATTTTCTATGAACCTTAATTGTCAGAAGAGCACATTTAGTTCCGCTTTTGCTACTGGCACTGTTTTATTAGCCTACTTTTAAGACAAATTTGAGATATGCTTCTAGTAATTACTTTATACTCGGATTTCTGACTTTGGTTGCTAATAACATTTTATTGCAGTCTTTTTTCAAGTGGAAAATGATTACACTAAAAGCAGCTGAACAGGTCCATTAGCTGATTTCCAGTTCAAAGTTACAGTACAGACAGCACTAACCTTTCAATTGCAAATGAGTTGGTTTCGAGTGGAGAATGTTTGGAAAGCATAAACATTGAAATATCAACAGACACTTTTGAAAATTTGCAACTGCTTTTTCTGTTAAAGCCTTCCCCAGTTTTATTTAGTCATGAATTTAAACGTGCACAATGGAACTTTTTCGGTGTCGATGTATACGTTAAATGTTGCATATTACGCCATTTTCTCATCAGAAACAGACCTGGAGTTGTGTTTTATTTCATTCACACATGTTTAACACACTAATCTTGCATATTTAGGCAGTGGCGGAGTTAGCAATTTGGGAGCCGTAGGTGAACTTGAGTTTGGGGCCCTCACTATAATGCATTGCTTTTTGTTTTGTTTTGTTTTGTTAATATATTTGAGTGTTTTTGCACATTGTTCTTGAAGCACACACGTTTCTATTTATTTGAATTATGCTTGATTGGAAACTTGTCTTATTAGTTCATTCGCCTACTAGAAAACCAGACTGAAAGTATTATTATTATTTATTTATTTTTTTTTTTTGCTGGGACAATTGCATTTTTGTTTACATCCATTACATGTGATTTTTTTTCTTATGATTATTGTTTAAAAGTAAACTACTCTCATTTAATGTCATACTGAGAGAAATTCAAATTACTCTGAGGTCTTGGCTATTAGTGGCACTGAGAGCAATTGGTTGGGGGCCCCTCCAGGTTTGGGGGCCCTAAGCAGCTGCCTCCTTTTGCCTAATGGTAGAGCCGCCTCTGTATTTAGGCTGAGTATTCTTCTTAAACTGAAAACACTCTGTTCCACCTTGTGATGTCATGTGAGAGTAATGCTCTATTGTGTTTTTTAAACTCAATACACCTTCTCTAGAATTATTTGGATGATTTCAGCTCTGGAACTGTCAACCTTCACTGAACAAAATATAAAAGGAAGCTGTTAAACTATCACTTCATGACATCACAAAGTGGAACTAAGCATTTTGAGCTTGAAATAAACACAACTCCAGGAATGTTTTTGATTAGGTAACAACATTTAAACACGTCTTAAAGCTCACAAAGTTAATTTTGTGTAATACAGGACCTTTAACCTGACTTGTTCCATATGGTATTGAACTGATATATCTCCATAATGTATATCAGGTCAAGATAAGCAGGTGATGTGTGGAGAGATGACACTCAAGCTCACTGTAAGACTACATATCAGTGTATTTTTGGAGCAATAAAAGCACTTGTAATGGAAAAATGCAATAAGTATATATTTTTTTAATGCCATACTGTGAAACATTCCTTGCAAAGCTGTAAGATCTGTACGAGACAAGAAGGTGGCAGACCCTCCACCAGAAAAGTTTCAAAGTGCCCCTCTAACTCAGATATAAGTCCATACCTGCATCATGGTATAACGTTCCTGAGTGGTTTTAGAGGACAAGCAGTTTATATGGGTGAAATAGACGGAGCTGACGAAGGACAGAGCTAAAAATGTGGGAAAACGCTCCAAGTAGCACGGTCCAAATGGGGTCACTTTCACTCAAGTCTCAAGGAGAAGATGACCAACCCAATGCACTGTATAATGGATAGCAAGAAGTACATGTCTCAAGGACTCAATCATGTAATTGTCAAGTCAGTATTAGCCCTAATCAGGTCTAAACCAGGATTAGAGCAGGTCTCTATAGTCCAGAGCCAGACACAATCAGACATCAAAGTAGTATTTAAATCTAAGAAGCTTTAAACTAGGAGCAAAAATAAACAAAATCATACCAGTCAATCAGGTTTAAAGGTCCTAAATTAAACAAAATTGACTCTATAATGTTGTTACCTGATCACAAACATACCCAGAGTTGTGTTTTGTTTCATTCACACATGTTTGAGCAATCTTGTGTTATTAGGCTGTCTGCCTCGCCAAAGCTCAAAATGCTCTTTCCACCTTGTGATGTCACGAAAAGGTAGCGCTTTTCAGCTGTCAGGTTAACTCCACGCCCCTCTCCTACTCTGTTAATAGTCCTGTGAAATGTCTGTACTGTGTTCTGAATGTGCTGATGTGCGGAGGTGTCATTTTTTTGTGCACTTTCCCAAACCATGTACAGATTTCG